GACTTCAGTTACCCTATGTATAAATATTTACTTTATATATTTTTAAAGGTAATTAAAATTTTTGTAAATGAAATGTTTAAATAAGCAATTTATATTTGAATTCAGTGCAGGGATATTCAAAAAATGATGTCAATAAATTTATATTTTATTTCAAATTAATCATAAACTTTATAGGATGTGGTTGCTGGGATCTCTAGCCTTGTTTTTTGTGAAGAATTTGGTATTTGTGCCTAATTATTTGTCACATAAACTGAGTAGCAAATTTGAAATAAAATATCAAAGATATCGAAATCATTTTGATTTTAATCCTGTATTATTCAGAAGATTACGAAATGTTTAAATAATGTATATATATATTATTTAATTATTTTATATATGTATATATATTTTTTTCAGTTATTACCAGCAAAGAACGATGAAGACGAAAATTTCCATTACAACACCAATACTTATTTTAATAATAATTATTAATATTATATATTTTGTATTCGTTTCGAAAACATTGATAAACTTTAAAGTAAAGAAACCGAATAACAGTGAATACATGCCATTGGAGAATTGGCACTATATAGATTCAAATGTTTACGTTTATTCGGCCTTTTGGGAACATAGAATGGATCCACCTTTCGTTAAAATAATTGGAATTGGACTCCTTAAAAAGATGAATATTTCTTATTTAAGATGCTTATTACGTTATAACCAAACTGTAATTACTAATACATCAGTTTCATATAAGACAATGCACGAAAGTCATTTAAAACGACATACAGCAGCATTTTTCTGTTGTAGAGTTGATCAGAAACCTTCTCACGTTGCTCTTATAAAACCTGGAAACAATGTAATTCATTGGTTGAAAGTTCACATTATTCAACCTCCAAATGATAAGAACGAATGGCTAAATAATACAGTCGTTTGCGTAAGACCATTTTTTGGTGCTTTCTCAAATAATAATATTAAAATAGCAGAATTTATAGCTTATTATCGTATATTAGGAGCGAATAGTTTCGTTTTTTATGATTATCAAACTGAAAATTCTCTTAAACAATTTCTAAACTTTCTGTCCAAGAATGGAATCCAAATCCATTTATTGCCGTGGTTTCTACCAAAGAATGTTATAGATACTTGGCAATTGGGCCAATTAGCAGCCATTGCAGATTGCGTGTATCGTCATGCGAGGACTCATCAATATGCTCTCATTATTGATGTGGACGAATTCATCGTACCACAACGAAAAACTTCTTTACAAGAAATTTTGCAAGACATTATCAATCGTCGTTGTAAAAACTGTGGAACGTTTATATTTAGACAGACATTTTTTTGTGTAGAATATCCTGACGACCCTCTAAGTTTAAAATTAAGAATTCCGCTTTTAACTTTAAAGAAAACCAGAAGAGAAACATTAATATGGAAAGCATACCAAAGAAGTAAAGCAATAGTACGTCCCATTGGTATTGAATCACCAGGAATACATTTTACGTTTGATTCTATAAAATCTTGGAGAACGCTCATAGTCAATCCAAAAATTGCTAAATTACAACATTATCGTTTACACAAATGTAGTGATTTGAATAAAACTACCAGAGATCGCTCAATTTTTAAATATAAAAATGTACTTCTTCAATCAGAAATATTAAAATTGTGGTATATATTTAATATAAATTTATAACCTTTACAGCAATTAAAATATTTTTATATTAATATTTATATTAAAATTTGTAATACAATGTAGGCCTATATATCTCGAGTCGAAATATATAGGGTTGCCCAAAAGTCAGTTTACACACCGAAGCGTTGTATTGAACAATTTTTGTAAAGTTTATAAGCAATAAAGTCTTTAAATAAGTCAGAAATTTCACCTTTACAATGGTAAACTGAGTTTTGGACCAACTCGAATATTACAATAATATGTATATTTTTCCAAATTTGGTTTAAATTTACGTGACAACTTTAATATACAATGTTTTAACACAAGTAAATATTTTAAAAAAATTTTATATTTTGACGTTTATGAATTCAAATTTAATAGCAAATGAAGACTTCGTTAACGAATATGATATCTAATTTTCATGGCATATTTAATCACATAATAAATTTATGTTTAGTATTATTAAATTGCTGGTGATTAAATTGTTGATAGAAACGTTGATAAATTAAGTGTAGAACTTAACTGTTGTTAATTAAGAATTTTCTCTCTGTTTTGTCCTATGGTTCCAATTTAAACATTACACCATTCCCTCTATTAAAATTTAATCAATTTAAGACAAATTATTAGTTACATTAAACGTAAATTGGTATTCAGTTAGCAATTCTCAGTTATCGATGATATTATTATTTATGTGCGCTATTATCAAATTTTAATTTCCAAACTAAACAAACTTTAAAATGTAAAATTTGTTTTATAATTGTTTAAATAAATTATATTAGGCTTATATTATTAAAATAATTAGTTTGTGCACTGTTTAATATGAATATATTTTAATAAAGGTAACTATGTTTATGTTAGAATGATCTCGAATCGGACACGAGCTCAAGAAGTTTAGGAAGTTTTTATCAGTCAATTTAAGATAAAGAACTTTTAAAAATATTGCTGTAAGCCTGATTTTTCTATCGAAAAAGGTATTACATCTATTAATTTACGAATAAATTTAAAAATATAACTAAATATCATCACAGATTAAGCTTCTTTTAATTTTTCCTCCTCTGCATATTACATTATGAAGCGTTGCCGTAAGAAATTTGTCCCTGATAATTTTCGTGTTTTCATTAATNTAATAAAGTAAACAAAAAAATCTGAATTTCTTCGGCTTTTCGTTATGCCTGTACAATGTACTTAAATTATTTTTTTCCTTGAATTGAATAAATTTTCTCATTTCACTTCACACAATAAAAACAAGACTGTGAATTTTATTAACAAAATATAACGGTACTTGTGCTATATATTTGTTAGCTAATTATACTAAAATATTGAGGATTATCGTCACAAAATTATGGAAATAAAATTGTAAAAATAATAATAAAAAGCAGAAATTAACACTTTCAGAAAGAGCCGCATGTAACTCAAAAAGAGCAACATTTTCCCATGTCTGTTATATAATAAAATCGCGGTACAGAATAAGTAAGTACAGAACTGCGGCTCCCATGCATTTTGCAAAACCTACATTTCGGCTCCCACTAAACTTTTGCTTGCCCACCCTGATATATATATATTATACGAATAAATACACGATTGAAAAATATGTATATTACACGAATATATACACGATTCATATATATATACATATACATATACATATACACTAGAGCATCGATTATCCGAATACCGATCAACCGAAACATCGGTTAACGGAAAGCATTCCAATCAGCATATTCAAATTTCTGCCAGTGCTGTAGCGCTGCAATATTTGGCTGTCTTGGTCTACTCGAATATTATTTTTGGTGTGCGTTTTTAGCCGGCAGCACTTGCGCGACCACAAGAGGGTACTTAAGGACGCGGCAATGTTTGAACGAGATTTTTTCCCCCATCGTGAATGATGAGTTTTGCTTGTTTTTTGTGGTGTTCTTCTTAGGACTGTGTGTCGTGCTAAATCGGAATGTTTTTGATACTAGATTAACTTCCGAAATATAATGTTTTTTGTTTTTATATTTTTCAATATATTTATTTTGTTTGTGCAAAATAAAGAAAGAATTATTAACGATACAACAACCACGATTATTATTTTAAATAAATTTTTCGTTAAGGAAGATGCAGACATGCGGCGCGGCAAGGAAAAGCGGCAGAATGACGTCACTTTTTCTCGCCGCAGAAGTCGATTTCGCGCCGCTTTTCTCGTGCGGCAAAAGTTGGTTGAATTCTATCTTTTGCGGCGATCGCCGCCAAGATGCGTTTCTATCAGCCAACAACAGTTCGTCTGGAAATTACGTGGGAAAATACAATCGCGTGGTGTTTTAATGGCGGAAAGTTCGACGCAGTTAACCGAGATAACTAACACCAGAATAAGGGAAAGGATAATAAATTTAACACAAATTCTACACAAATAATCATATATAATTTAATTCAAAGAACAAAACAACCGAATCTTACTCGAAATAGTATTATTTATCGAGAGATTTTAATCGAAGAATAAGCGCATTTTGTACACTAGCTCTTTCTCGATCCAAGAAAATATCTTTAATCCAAAATCTTCGTTCGAATCTTCCACAAAATCTTCTAGCTAAATAAGGCAAGCCGTACAAAACAAAATTTGTAAACACGTGGATAGCGGCAGTTCCACATCGTTCGCCGTCTTGAATACTGAACCCATGCGCCGAAATGTAAGCGGATTGCCGCTTGTGTGGTTGTGCTGCCGCGCGGCGAAGATGCGTTGCGATACCTCTTTTCCTTGCCGCGCCGCATGTGTGCATCTTCCTTTAGGCTTAACATCGACGAAAATTCAACGCAAAGCGACACACAACGGAGAAAAATTTCAATATGGGATAGGTTAGGCCGCGTTTCTTTATGCAGCGCTCGAGAAGAGCTTTACAGCGAACACTGAAACCCATTTCTAAATGCAGCGCTGCAATGTAGCGATCTCTTGCAGCAAACGTTTAGAAACGTTTCTGAAATAAATGTTTGTTTAGCTAATAAAAAATGAATGAGTTTTTAATTTTTTTTTTTTTGTTGTTGTTGTCTGTTGTATTCAGAATCGCAAAAACTTTATTGCAGAAGATATCGCCCTTGAGAATAAAATCGACCTGTCCGAGCGAGTTGCTTGGACGAACACGATAACTCTGCAGTTTCGTTTTCGTTGGCCCACCCTGTATATTAAACGAATATATACACGACTAGCTATTACCCGAGACTTCGCCGGCGCGGATTTTGCAAGCGAACACCATTTATATTCAGTATTTCAACAACCATGGTAATTGTTATATAACACCTACCGCTGAGAATCAAACGAACTGTTTTCAATTTGATCAATTTTCTAGAACGTTTACAATAGTTCTATAATCGAACCAATATGCAATAACAAATTCGAATTTAAAACGGTTCGAACATTTGATTCAAAAATCGAAATATCTATAGATATAGATATTTCGATTTTTGAATCAAATGTTCGAACTAGTAAACTATATATAAAAGTGAGATATAGGGACATACATGTCCATTTATATATATATATA